GTCTGGGGGTGCCTGGAGGGAGGTGAGTGGAGCTCCATCAACACACTGTTCCACCCGCCTCCTCAGCAAAACAAGGTCCCTCTGAACCGGTACCAGGTCAGGGAGCTGATCAAGAGGCTGGATGACAAGACGGGCATGGTGAACTTCAGGTCAGCCCGACCGCGCTTCTCCCGGTGCTCGACGAGGGGCCCGGGCCGGGTCCATGGAGCTCCCGGGCCGCCCTGCGACAGGGCGCTTAGGCCTGCCTTCCCCCACCCTCGGCACCCCACTGCTTTTCCCTGCATCCGAGCCTGGCCCCACTGTTTGCCTCCTCCTGTTTCCAGTTCACTTACTTGACCAGCCGTGATTCCCAGCCACGAGCTGCTGGCTGCCGGCTAGATGAGGGACCTGTGAGCAGCACAGTGCCAGCCCACGGGTCGGTCACCAGGGGGACCGTGTTCAGGCCAGGTGTGGGAGAGGGATGTGGGGTGTGGACCAGGGACAGGTCCTGATGGGGGAGGGGCCATGAGGTGTGGACCAGGTCCTGGTGGGGGAAGAACCATGGGTGTGGACCAGGCATCCTTGCAGCCCGGAGAGCAGGCATCCCTCCCGCGGGAGGAGTTGACATTTCAACTGAGTCTGGCAAGCCAGAGACAGTTTGGGGGTGAGGAGGGTGGTGTCTGAGGCTGAGTCCCTTGGAGCGACCACCCCCACCGAACCTGCCCCACTCCACATGCCCTGCCACACCCTCGCCGGCGCATCCTGAGTCCTCGAGGTGCCCAGGCAGCGCTGTCACCCCATCGGTCACTGACGAGACTGACCTAGAGATGCGAAGCAAAGAAGCACCTTCCAAGACAGGGAGGCCTGGCCCGACCCAGGCACAGGGTCCACACCCATCCTCTCTCCACCGGTGCTGGGGACTCCGCTGTCCTCGCCAAGTGTGTTCTGCTGGGGGCTGCCTTGGGTTCCTGGTGGCTTCATGCCTGTCCTGTGTCCCTAGGAGCCCTGCCCTCAAGCCTCCCCCCAATGCCTTGGTCCTTCGCCCCCTCCCATGTCTTCCATGTGGAAAAGCCACAGCATGGACGGGAAGGGCGGTCTGAGCAGGTGGCCAGCACTTCTGTTCCGTGGAACACTGGGCGGCTGTGCAGAGCCCTCGGTCTCCCATCTTTAAAATGGGGTGATTGGCCGGGCTCGGTGGCTCAGTCTGTAATCCCGTGCCTTGGGAGGCCGAGGTGAGTGAATTG